GGTAGCGTCTGTTTCTGACGTGGTCGAGGCCATGGGAACTTCTCGGGGTCGAAAGTACGATTTCTCGCGTGGTACCTATCGCGTCGAGTCACTTACTGTCATGACACGTCTCGGTCGCGTTGACATCGACATTGCTATCGGTCACCGTGCGATGCACGGCTCTCTCCCTTGCGATTTTTTCTCGCCATGGCAGCGACAATTAGTAAGATTGCCGATTCGTCACTGGGAACATTTTCGACGAGCAGCGGGGAAATTCGCCGAGGCAATTTCGCGACTCGTAACGAGCCACGCCGGGGAAGAACAGGGACGCGGCGGGAGGGGGATGAAGGGGCTAGTGGGGGGTATTTGCAGTGGTCGACTGCGAAATTTCAATTACGCGTGTACCAGAGGCTGATTCGATTATCGAGGCCGGCTTGATTACCGATTCAATTGTTGCAACGAGTGCACCGAGGAATTTGTTCCTGTTTGCGCTAAAGCGCAGCCGACGCATCTATTATGCAGCACGATCCTCGGCCCTGCTTGTGCTCGCACTCTCTGACACCTTTTCCCGTGTTATAGCGTCGCGTCACATCGTTCTATCACGCGGACATCCCGTGTAATTTTCTCTTCCCCGGCTGTTTCCCGTCTCTTTTTCGCTTCATTCAGCCCGTCCGCCCCAGTCGCCGTCGCCCCCCGCCCCCGCGTCCTCGTACCCTCGCACACCAGCCAGCTAACTTTTATTCTCTCTCGTTCCCGATGCGCTGTATTTCCGAGGGCGTTAAACGACATAATGCGGCAATTTTGTTAGGCGCTAGCAGCAAATTCGCGGAGGTGCGAATGGCGGTGGCTCTTATCCTAGAGGGCCATTAAGTGATCTTTCCCCGATTATTACTGCCAGCCAGGGATATTCCATTTCCAGCCTTGGCTGAAAAACTGCCGAGGATATTACCGTTGCAAGCTCGCGTCCCATCGCAGGCGTGAGGACACTTCAGCTCGTAATGTGTGCCATATTATGTAAAATTATGTACGATCCAGCCGGTACACGAGAGCGAATTTTCGTGGCCATCGAGTTCGCAAACGACTCGTCGGTTGAACAGTGACCGAGACGTTCTAGGTTGCAAAATATTTTGCAATTTTTTCCCATCATTTCGGAAATTTAACCCTTTACACGCGACCACTTGTTCGTTCCAGAAAAATAGCAATTCGAAGACTTTCTGTCATGAAGTCGAGGATATTTTTAAAATGGCAAATCAAAAATCGTATGACAAAATCGTTGGTTAACTTTAAATTTGATATATTAATTAACATCCATCTTTAGAATCTAATTAAATGGCGACCGAGAAGCGCCTTTCGAGTGCAAAGGGTTAGGTTAAGTCGATCAACGCGAAACGGGATCGTTTTCATATCGAGGATACTATTTTCCCCCGAAATTAAAGCGTAACGTATATCTTTCACGTCCATTCGCGTCGTATTTCGTTTATAAAAATCTCGAATAACCGTGGGATTTTTATTTTTCATTTCAGACGTATTTATCGAGCGCGGGATCAAGTTGCGGTATCGTTAAGTTAGGTTTCCACTGTACCGATGTCGAAATTTATCGTTCGATCGATATCGCGATCGTAGGACCAACGATCGATAGCGCCTGACCAACCGAGCGAAGCGTCTGCCTTACCATCGATCGATTAAATCGGAACGAGGCAAGCCTGGCGGAAACTTCACCGTAGATCACTGTGCTCGCGATGCATAGCCACGATTTATCATCTCCATCGCGTAATATCGCGGTTCCGGGAGGAAGGGCAAGTTAACCGAGAAGTTCGTGAAGATAAAGCACAGCTCTCGAGGCGTTCGCGGAAACGCAGGCTACAAATTACGCCAACGACCAAGCAGATTCCTAGGAAATCCTACTCCACGCTGGAAATACGAGGAAAATATCGGCCGAAACGAATTTAATTCGATTCGTAACGACGAATTGGACGAATTATCCGCGTCTTGTTCCGAAAAACAGACGCCATTTCTGGATCATTTACGAGCTCTCGAGTCCCGATACCCTTCGAGGAGCAGGCGACCGAAAGTTTACTCGAAGCGAACCCGACAGCAAATCGAGGAAAGCCAAGGGCGAGTGCGATCGGTAACCGAAGCTCTCGCAAGTTGAATCGCCTGAATCCCGAGCCGGTGGACCCTGGGAGTGGAAAAAGAGCGTCTGGGTCCGTGGAAGCGAGCGGAATAAAAGGACGATCTCGTTTCGTCGGGGAAACTAGGAAGCACCGCATTGCGGCAATATCGCGCGACCGAGCAAAACCGCCTGGTGGAAACTCGCCTCGAAAACAAGGGACGCCACTGCGAGAAAGGGACGGACGTAGATTTAAAGGGAGAGAGAGAGAGAGAGCGCGGCCGGGGGAGAGAGAGGGGGAGAGAGGCGGAAAGGAGACAAAAACAGTGGGAGAGGAGCAGAGAGCGACGAGTGGATCTTGCGTTTGCAGGGATTGGAGAAGAACAAAGGGGTAGAAGGTGGATAAACAGCGAGGATCTAGCCGGGCTGATTCGAGGCGAAAAAGTGGGATCGGTGTCGGGACCGTGGGCCCAGGTTAGACGGCGTCCGTTGCTAGCTGGAACGAGGCAGCGCGTGTATCCTTTTTGATCGTGCGATCGGTGTGCTCCACAGAGAGGATCTGGCAACAACGGCTGGAGGAGGAGTGATCTTGCAGGAGCATTGGCCACGCGAGAACGGAGGGAAAAGAGGGGCCCGGCGTTGGTGGAAAGAGGCCAAGCCCCGAGCGTGCACGGCGGAGGGAAGGAGAGGAGAAGGGCCCGTGGAAGGCGGCGGCGGGAGCCGAGCAGGCCTGGTCCAGCGCACGTAAAACTCGTCTCGCAACGGAGAAATACCTCGCGTAGAACGTCGGAACTTCCGGTCGGAACGTAGCCAGCGATTTTCCGCGATTTCGCTCGCGTTTTCTCGATGCGCGATACCCGCCGCGTCCACGCACACAAGCTTGAGGAAGAAGAACGGGCCAGGGCGGGAGAAGGGGAAGAACCGGTGGAAGACGAGCGGAGGAAACTTTTCGAGGGAACAATGTTTCGCCCCGTGGGAGTGTGAGATGCCGTGGATCGGCTGAAAATGCAGTGTTTCGCGTGCGAGCACGATACCCGTCCACGTGTGCCACGGAAACAACGCTTCTGCCCGCCGCGGCTCGCTTGAGACTACACGTCGAACGTTCTCGGGCACGTTCCACCGCGTCCACCGACCAGAAGAAGGTGAGAGATAATCCTAACCGCGATTCCGTCTTCCTCGCTCGTCCCACTGTCGCGATGACACGAGTCTTTGGTAAGTCTTTGGCTCGCGGGGCCGCTGCCAACGGTCCCAGTGTGCGTGACAGTAACGATCTTCGACGACGAGCATTCGCTAGAATCTTCGCGCTATTCGCGTTGATAGTGTGTTTATTTATACGCGTACCCGAACGATAATACTCGCTCCGAGTATTATCCGATGGGTCAGGTAAATTCAAAATAAACACCGGTGGCACGCCGCAGTCGTGATACGTGCGTGATCCAAGATAGACGGTTCGACAGATTTTCCACGGAAGCATGCAAAGAAACGTAACTACCGATCGTGCGAAATAACGTAGCTTCGCGAATCTCGCAGTGAACGTGACGTTTAACTGGCCCAAGCGAAGGGGGCCGCGCGATCGTCGCGACGCCCGACGGATTTTTCTGCGCGCTCGCTGCTCAACCGGTCACGTAAACAAAGGCCACGTCGGATGACTTTTTAATGGAATCACGGTCGCCGTCGGAATGCGGGATGATGCGACGCGGCGAGGAATATCCGCGGCGAGGGCAAATGACCGGGAATCACGCGGGCCCTCCAACCCCGTCGCGATCGGGGCGCGTGACGCGCTGGAAAACTACAAAACCCGAACTAATTAAAAGGGAATCAGCCAGCCGCCGTGACACAAAATCCTGCGTGTCGATCGACGTGGCCTCGGCTGAACGACACGGACAATGAGAGCGAGCGAGAGGGCGCCAGGCGGAAGCGAGGCGAGGCGAGGGTGACGCGGCGTCGCGACGCGGTGCAAATCAAATATTAATCGCGCAATTAGCGCCGATTGTACGTTAATCGGTTTTGTCTTTTTCCTCCTTTTTTCTGCCTTTGCTCGCGCCGCGGCGAGGCTTGTCAACCGGATGCGCGAGCGGCGAGCGTTCGAGACGATGACACGCGCGGTCGCGCGGCATTCGCGCCTCGTCTCCCTGTCATCCGTCACGGGTTTATTCCTGGCCCACACCCCCGACCCACGCCCGCCATTAATTTCGGATTATCGCAAATTGCACGAGCACCTGGCAACTCGCGCGCCGAGTCTCGCGCGATCGGTTTAACCGGAAGAAGCGTACAGGGTGGTTCTCGTCGCAGGGTGGTTCGTTCCCGTCTTAATTGGCTCGATTGTTTCGGGGCAACGAAGGAAGGTTAACGAGTAAAAGTTGCATGGTACTTAAACCAGGCAAGCAACGGCGAAGTAACGAACGCGTTGGCTTTTTAACAAGCCGTAGCTACGAAATACCTTTCGCTAATTATGAAGATTAAAAAAATAACAACCGGCGAGGAGTTTGGAAGAATCGTTAAGGAAAACTTACTCTTACGCGCGTAAAAGTTTACGCGCCGCGTTTCAGCACGGCGGAACGCTTGCTTGGGGTCCCATAAATGACACGGCTTACCGTAAGAAGACGCGATTAACGTTGGAATTATTAATCCCCGAAGCCGAGGTAGTCCAAAGCGCCGTAATAATTGATTTCGGATATTTCGTTTTATTTTTCTATTGGAAATAGAAAATATATATTCGCGTAATAATCGGAGCGTTGAAAAATCTGCACGGATTGCAACTTTTGAACCACCCTGTACGACGACGCCGAGAATTATTCGCACATATCTCCGGAGTAAAATACACGAAACTACCGGCAGAGTCGGAGTGTATCTCGTTAATTAACTTCTAGCCCTGTTTGCCGCGCAGTTGCTGATTTTCGATTCAAACATCATGGGAACCAGAGCCGTCGCCGTGGGGGCGGCACCAGGAGCAGCGGGGGTATCTGGCGAGGCAGGTTTAGCCGGTGTACCCAGACTTCTGGAGGACCTGGCTCGACTTTCCGAGGACAAAGACACGGCTGACATTGTCTTTCTGCTAGGAAGGGACGAGACACCGGTGTACGCTCACAGAATTATCCTCCAAGCGAGGTCAGTACTCGAATTTGCCTAGTCGTTTACGTCGTGGCGTTTCCGGAAACGGCGAATTAATCCCGCCGGTGCACGCCGTCGATATCCCACCGTCGTGATGGGAAAACGTTAGACCCGGATGGAAACCACAATGACACGATTTATACCATTTTCTTTTCCTCCCGGTATCCTTCCACGTCCCCGGGGACGCGACACGACTTCCCGTTTGCCACTCGTGTACGGAAATTTTATTAAGCACGATCCAATGCACGACGACCGTGCATCGCATGGGACCGAATTAATTGTTAATCGTAATTTTTGCTAAAACAGCTCGCGTCTCGTCGATCGATCGATCCGTGCCCGATCGGATTTCCTTGGAGACCGCGCAGCCGATCCGAAAAACACGCGCGCGGAATTACGTCGGGGACGAGCGCGTTTACCGGCACAAAGCGCCGCGGATACGCGGACTGCCTCGTTTTCAGAGTGCATCCACGGCGTAAAAAGGAAAAGTTAGACGCCCGGCCCCGAGACAATGGGGGTCTCGTCGTCTTGCAGAAAATAGAGAATTAACGACGATGCCGTGGCGCCGTTACGTCTTATCCTTTTCCCTGCTCTTTGCAATGGAAATGGCGAGACGTACGCGGCATAACGAACGCCCCCCGTTCACCTTCGAAAATATTTTCGCGCTCCCGGAGTCGAGACACCGTGACTCCTCGTTGGTCTTATCCCAGACGCGATGGAACTTATTCCAGCGGTAACTGCGTTACCAACTTTTCGCCGTGGAGCTGACGGCACGGTAGGGGGCGAGTTGGCTGAGGCGACGGGGAGAATGAAAAAAAATGGCCGAAAGAATAGCCCAAGTTAACTTTCCCGCGGAATTGCAAACGAACCCAACGGCAGGGAAATGATAACTTCGTTAAATTCCTCGAAGTCACCGGGAGGAACCTATACATAATTCACCTATTCCCGCTTTCACGTCTCGGGGACCCTTCTTCTGTTTCTGTTCCCGGAAGAAGGGGGAGAGAAGGGTATCCGGCCGGATGGGCACTCCAGTCGCGAAACAACGCCGGATCGGTGGAGATTCTATGAAAATTCTTGATCGAACGAACGATTCCGGGGAGAGAAAAATCGCCAAGTCATCAAAGTTTCTTCGAAACGGGGGTTGGAAAGGCGGGGGACGGCGAAGTTCGCAGCGGCGATGAATTTTAATTTAGGGACTCCGATTGTTACGGTGAAACGAATCGATCGAACGTTCTAATTAGTTGGATAATAAGAGGTACTCCCGCTCTCTTTCTCTCCTGCACGCGCTTTCTTTCCCCCCGTGGACGATTCATCTGTGACGAACGCGAGTCCCGGGGCCGCATTTTCATCCGACGGGATTCTAATTGCTGTAAGAAGGGCTCGGTTCGATATTAGTTGGAGGGGCCTTAGCTTAGCGAGGCAACGACATTCCAGTGGATAGGCTCGATGCTAATTGTAAAGTCAATTACGATATTCCTGTGAACCCTTTTGATATCAAGGCGTGGAAGGGAACGTCGGTCCTTTTGTCATCGGCCCTCTTTCCTCCCTTTACCACTCTCTCTCTCTCTCTCTCTCTCTCTCTCTCTCCCACATTCCGTCTCTCTCTTTCTCTTTCTCTGTCTTTCTCCTCGTTTCGCCGACACCGGTCTCGGAAAATTAAGTTACGCATGCTGGTGACAGGCGTCCGTAGGAGAAACGCATGGACAATACGCGACCGCACTCAAAACTCTACGCGGCGCTCTCCAGTCCGGTGAAAATCCTGACAAAGAGTCGTGATCCCCATCCCTGCTCCCTCCGCCCTCTCTTGTAGTCCTTGTCATTTCGAAATGCGACGCAGATGAGAACGATGCTTGACAACGGGAGAAAAGAAATTGAAAAATAAGCTCAAGCTTCGGTGCGGTTCGATGGTACTCTAACGTAATCCCATCGTTTCTATTCAACCCCGCGTGCAACTGACCGCCATTAACGCGTCGAGTACCGTGTTTCCTCTTACCTCGACTCTCCAGGTTCATCTGCCGAAAGAACGCTAATTTAGACGCGAAAAATACCCCCAAGATTGGAAATATCTAACCAGCGGAGTGGTGTTAATCGCGCAAAATGGACGCGCAATCTAGGAGACCTAAATTTTAGCTGGATCTCGGTGCCGGTAATTTGATCGCGCGAGCCTGGAATATCGAACAATGGCCATCAGCGGGAAGATGGATTCGCAATTGAAAAAGGAGCGTTCGTTATCGGCACGCTTTCGCCAGTAATTATGCATTCGACGACAATGCTATACATTGGGATCCGAGTCTCGGCACGATCCGATAATGGACCGGGGCGGTGAGACGGCCGGGTCTCACCGGTACGGGAAACGAGGAGGTGTGGCGCGAATTTGACTCTCGTGCACCGGAAACGGAGGCGGTTTTTGCGCGGAGATCGACGGAGCCGCTATATAATCGCACGCTTGGTCGTTAGTAGCGGAGCCCGCGGCGACATTCAACCCTTGCCGCCGTGAAACCAAGCAGCCACGACCCTCGTTTCCCGCCACCACTAGGCCCCTTACCCCCTAACATCCTCTTTCCACGTCGAGCTCGTGAACCTACGTTACCACCCCCGTGACACCTCGTCGTCACACCAGACGCGAGCGCGGTGCCCTATTCTTTTCTCGCCGTCACTCGCTGATATTTCGTTTTCTTTGATTCCGCTGCGGCGTTCGCCTGTGATTAGGGAAAAGCTTCTCTCCGGGAACGACTTCGTTCTCGTTTTTCACCCCTTTCCCGTCTTCCCTTCTTCTTCTTCTTCTTCTTCTTCCACCGTGCTTTCTCCTTCGCCTCGTTCCGTGTACCATCCATCACCAACGACCAACCACCGGCTTTATTTTTCCTCCTAATACTTTTTCATTCCTCTCGCGATAGCGCGAGTTTTTGTCCGCCGATATTGCCGCGCCTCTAGTCGGAATTGCTGGCCACGTTCTTGGATAGGGTAAAAATTCACCACGCGTTCGAGATATGTACGTAGCAAGCTTCGTGGCGAATCTCCGAGAAGAGTGGAAATTCGAAATCGGAAATGGGACCGAGGGTAAATTGCGGCTAAGAACCGAGGCCGTTAAACGCGCGTGCAAATGGCGGCAAGGAGATCCTCGATACTCGAATATTTCCCTCTAATTTGCGGAAATAAATACGCGGGCTATCGCTTTGATATGCGCGAGCCCGCATCGCTTCCGAACTACCAGCGAAAGCATAAAGGTTGAGTTTTTTCGGTCCGTTAAAAGTCGACCCGTGGCAAGGGCTATATCTACGCCTCTGGCTTGCTGCACGCGGCTGGTGTTTTTAATTTTTTTGAGCACTAGTTTTCCTCTGTCGACTCTGGGCAACCATGTTTCGTGGCTCGGCCCCCTGCGATTTTCCAACTTTCGCGCTCTCCTGTCGACGAAGCCGAGCGTTTGTTAACGCGTCGGTTATAATATCAAAGCAGCGGCGTGCATGCCTTTTCCATTTGCACCGGCTCTTTGACGGATTTTCTTTTGATTCGATACGGAGGCCGGTGGTGCACGCTTTGCTCGCACAGCTCGTGCCGCGCGACCTCTTCGTTTCTGGCACGCGAAATCTTTTTACGCGCCACAGCTTACCGGTATTAGAAGCCGCGGTCGTTTCACCGCTGTCTTCGCCGGGCCCAAAGTGCTCGTTCAAGGGTTTGTCTGCCTTTCCAGCCTCGAGCTTTCTCCACCGTTTGTATCTTCAATTTTCCATCGTCCCTTTGTTTAATTACCATGCGAAATTGGAATAGTTTCGAGCGCGACGAGAAATTCCCTGCCCCGCTCTTCGTTACCGTAGTCACGTGGGATACAAATGGCGCTGGCGTCGGAGTAAGTAAGAGTCGTGTAATCGTTATCGAGCTCAACAACTCGAAGATTTATACGCGGAAGGATGTAGAAAATACATGGAGGATCTGAGAGAAAGGAGACACTGTTCGTTTCTAGACTCGTCGATATTAAAAGCCTCTCCTTTTGTCTATCTTGTCGTATTGTGCGCATTGTGGCAGAGGGTGTACGCTAGAAAAGCCGAGATCGAATGTTCTCCCAATGGGTCACAGGGAATCTCCGCTTTCAGCTCGAAGTGCTAGAAAAGATTTGTTCTCCCGAGTTTCAACCGTACGAAGAGCTCCTCGCCGTAGGGAAAAAGAGGGTGAGAAGTGACTTTTTGAAGGTTGCCATTAATTTCTAGAGGAACGAAAACTAAAGCCGGGCTGCATACGTTGCGAATACTCTTGTGGCAGCGGAGCTTCCTGACGAAGTCAATTAAGCCCTTTTGTAACAAGAAACACTGCCAGAAGTAGTAGCGAAGGTGACGAAAGGCGAAGTGGTGGGTGTTCGTTAGAAGGGTCACGCACCCACTGTACATTTACGCCTGCACGATTCAAAGCAGTGCTCTTCTTTCATTGTCTTCTCTTCCCCCTAACCCGTGTACCCATGGTAATTATCCCTGGAAATCGATACCGTCACGCCGCTTCGATTTCTCAGGTGCAAGAACTTCACAGCCGCCAAGAGGATCGGGACATCCGGCAATCCTACGCCAATGCGTATGCCCCACGCTCATCCGGAGACTTTTCGACAATTCATTCATTATATTTACACAGGCAAGGTAAATAGCATCGAGAACAGATTCTGCTTTTATAACCACGATTGGCACGTGCAACAGACCGCCATCGAAGTTTCGCGTTGACCTAAAGCCACGGCTGAGTTTCATCCTATAACTGTTCCATAGATCATGCTACAGGATAGCGGTATCTTCGAGATGCTGGGATTCGCTCAGGAACTCGGGGTAGAGGAACTTTGGAGAAGTTGCGAGGAACATGTCTCTGCCACTCTCAGCCCGGGAAACGCGTGTGCCCTTTTAACCGCGGCCCTGGATGCCCAAGAGAGAGTTCCCGGTAAGTTATTCATAACGCACTGTTAAAAGTTTCGAGACCTAGTAATTTTCATTTTCAACCTCGCTGAGTAATACTTGGTAGAACACGAAGCGGTAATTGAAATCTAAATTAACGCCTCATTTTGTAGATAAATTATTGTGAAAATGAAAAATACGAAATTTGCAACTGGAATGTAAAAGGATTTTTCGGTAATTGAGTTTTCAGTAATATTTTGCTTTATTTTACGTCATGGTTCGCGTACGATAATTTAGTTAAAAATTATTTATTGTTTTGTATTTTACGTACGAAGGTAAGGAAATATATCAAATTGATTAAATTTATTTCTCATGGTTCATTGTACGACTAGTTATCGACCGTGCTTCTCGTGTAATTGGTATGTTCACCACAGTGGCAGCACTACATAGGGAATTTTATGGAATCAGTAACACCAACACTCAACGTTTTATCCCCATCCAAATCTCACTAGATGCATTAATATTGTATAATATTTTTTAAACGTTTTAAATTTCTGCTTCTCGCGTTTCTGATTGTACATTATAGTAATCTACGTGCATTATAATTTGCCCGAAAGTGAAACGACTTGGGTTATAGTTAAAATGGCGATAGGGGAAAGTCACAGGTCACTGTTGGTCATAATCACGACGCCACATTTTCCGGCGTCCGGTTATAGCTAAGCGCACGTTTATCAAACGTTGCTTATTATTTTTTGAAAATAGTCACAAAAATGTCGTACAAAGGACCTCAAAAAGTTCAAAAGGTGATGGTTCAACCCATCAACCTTATATTTCGGTACCTGCAAAACCGTTCGCGTGTGCAAGTATGGTTATTCGAAAATATCAACCTACGAATCGAGGGTCACATTGTTGGGTTTGACGAATACATGAATTTAGTATTAGACGATGCGGAGGAATATCATTTGAAGACGAAGAATAGAAAACCACTCGGACGAATTATGTTGAAAGGAGACAATATAACTTTAATACAAAATACAAATCCAGGAGCGAATTAAGGTATCTCTCTATAACCTCAGAGGACATTTTAGGACAAACAAAGAAACGCATTGTTTTATGTTTTGTGCTTCTACGTGTGTGTATAAACTACATGCTAAAAGAAGTGACTTAAACAACGTTTAACCAAGATGGAGTTAACATCTTCCAAGTTATACACGGTGATATACGTACTTCACTACAACTAGGACTTGTAATGAGAAATTGAAAAGTACAAGTTGTGAATGAAAATATTATTATATTGTCAAAATAGCAGTATTGGTTTCGATTGGAAAACACATTTCTTATCGTCATTTTATAACAGAACAATTTTCTGTTGGAACTTTGAATATTTTCCAAACTTAACTGAATAAAAATCTATGTAACGTATTGTATCATTTATATACGCGATGTTCAATTGTTTTGTACTATGGATCATCTAATGAGAATTCTAGGTGTAAATATTATGTGATTGAACAATTACTGTAATAAGTATGAACTAGATAAACAATATAATAAATATTTTTGAACCGATATTTTATGTTTCATTTATATTTGTACTCTAGTGGAAACCCTGCATTCGATAATTACGTAATTAGATGAAACTAATAGAAGTACTTAGATAAAAATACGATTTAAAAATAAGAGTTAAGTATTATTATTTAGATTATATTTTAATATTACTATAAATTTAGAACTGTCGTTAATAAAAGACTTTTTTGTTGTCACAGGTGGCAAAGGAGCTTGTTCGTCCTTCATTGAAAGATGTTTCGCTTTCATTGGAGAAAATGCTGTAGATACGGTTAAAACAACTGCGTTTTGTAATCTTCCAAAGGATGCACTGGTGAAGCTTATATCTTCTGACTATCTAGGATTAGAGGAAGAAGATGTTTGGAGAGCAGTACTGAACTGGGCTAAATATCAGGTTCTTTTTCTTTGAAAATTCTATTCCGTTTCCGAGTACTTTGAATCCGTTGAAAATTCCAAGAAGACTTAACGCTCTGATCATGCGTATGTCGTGCAAGGTCTTAGACCTTATGTCGCATACGATTATTACCGGGTCCTTGGGTCCTTAGGTTCTTGGATCGGAATTTAGAATTACGAGTTAAGGAACGCTTAACCGTACGGACCACGCTCCTAGGCAGGGGTGACGCAGCCTACTCAACACTGGACAGAGGAGGAACGTGTGAGGGTTTGCCAACATTTATCAGGAGTGATAAATCATGTTCGCCTGCTGCTAATCGACAGCCAGGTCTTTGCGGAGGAAGTAGAACCAACAGGAGCAGTGCCTATAGAGCTTTCCTTGGAGAGGTACGAATTTTTCAATCCCGATCGATCAAGTGGCTCAAAACCCATAAGGTATGGTTTGCCAGGAAATTTTGTTATTCTTGAAGGCTTTCGATTTTTACGTTTTGTTTTAGGTATAGGTATGCAGCGCTACCAAACAAGTACGCAGAAATTTGTGCAGATAAGCGGCTACAGCCAAGAGTGAGTCCTTTTCTCTTTCCTGGGTCACAAATTCTTTCACGAGATAAGATGGGTTTTCAACGTCTTCTCAATCAATGGTATGGGTCACCAAAGCAAAGTTGGCGTTTAGTATATCGGTATGTTGGAGAGGATCGATAATATATAACGAAAGCTTACTGTATTCAACGATTAATCTGTTAACTATGTGTTTCAGAGCCTCTAGTCATGGTTACTCTGCAAGTTCATTCCATCGACATTGTGATGGAATGTGCCCAACATATGTAATTGCATTGGCAAGTAATTTATATGCATATACATGTGTATATATATATATATATATATATATATGTGGAGAAATAATTTCATATTTATAAGTAAGAATTTTTATAACATTTTAGGGAACACGGGGAGAAATTTGCGGAGGCTTTAGTGATGCACCATGGGGTAAAACGAATGCTAAGGGGCACTATATTTTCTCAGAAAAAGCTTTCCTATTTACTCTAACAAATAATCAAGATGTACCTCCAACGAAATACGATATTGTAAAGAGGCCTTTTGCAATTTGCTATCATCCAGAGTAAGTTCCATTGTTTCATTAACTATTGCGGAATTTTATTGAACGTGATAAAATAAATAAATTATTCATTTTTGCAGCATCGGACCAATATTTGGAGCAGGCGCTGATTTATTAATTTCCAGTAATTGCAATGCCAATATGGAAAGCTACAGTAATCTCCCTCACAGTTACGATGGCGAGCATGCCTCTAACACTGTACTTATGGGAGATTACCATTTTTCTGTAGTGGATTACGAAGTGTTTACCCCGAGCCATCTAGTTCCCAAATCTACTCATTAACGATATATAAGTATTCTTCATTCTACGCGCTTGTACATATATGATTGCATATTTCTTTAAGAATAGTCATTTTCATGTAACTCCGCGAGTATAATATAAGATGGAAATGTACCGTTGAAATGAAATTATAAAAATAGAAGTTGTTCAGTTTATAAATGAAGTAAATTTGGATTATACACAGGGTATGATTTTATAAAAAATGTAATTTTTTTTATGCTACTTCAAAATAAAAAGTAAATCAGAGCTTTCGACGCTATTTATAATAGTCGCCTTTTCTAATGTTAATGAGTAGTCAATGAGAAGTCGACCGATATTGGCTTGCAATTAAAGACTTTGGCTCTCGATAGAATTAAAGTATGCCAAACGATACTGCGTGGTCTGCATAATGAGTATTTGATATGCTACGGTGCACAAGTCGATTCTCAAGGAACTCGTTAAACCACGCGTTAAATTGCTATGTGAACAAATGACTTCGAAATCTAATCTGTATTACAGTGGCGAGTTCGAAAGTAAACGTGAAATGTGAAAATCTACAGAAAAATGCGAACTACCGAGTATGGATTAGACTATCAAAGGCGCCGATGACACGGATGTATGTTCGATAAGTAAAATCGTATTGATTCTACTCGGTTAAAATAAAAATTTCGATGTACTGCAATGCTATGTGACAATTCGAGACACGTATTCCAATTAATTACGCAGAACGTGAGATCCCATTCGTGACGTGAAGCGTTATTTAGTACTTTCTCCTTAATTAATTAAATAAAATATTTCCTTTTACCTTCCATTTTTCTTACTACGCCGTCCCGCCTGTCCACTGCTTCCAACTTTTATCCAAGAATTGCGCCTTCGAAACGATTCACACAAAAATATAGTAATCACACAATTGTTCGACACATTTTGCGACGCAGTGAAATACGAACGCGGTATGCAACACGAAAATCGTATTTGAAACTAATAGGTACGACGTAATAGTTTCAACGTTCCGAAACATGAACCGGACGCCACTAGTCTACGTCGTAGAATAATTATTTTTCGATATCGCTGAATGTTACTGGAGAAATTCGAACGGTATACATGATAATTAGAAGGAAAATTATTTCACTTATGTATTTGAACAGAAAGTTTATTTCAATTATGAGACGAAGCATTTTCTACGCACATATGACTAACGTTGTCAGTGTCCACTTCGAGTGTTCCATTTTTCATATTTCTGTTCCGTATTCCTCCTTTCCCGATATGTTTAGAAAAGCGGTATGGCGCGAAACGTCGTTGTTGTAACTTTTGTTGATTATTTGCCACCTATTCATGAATACACGTCGGTTTGCAGGTAAGTTGCGTAATAACATAGAATATTGACTTTAGTTTACCTAGTTCACGTAATATTTGCGGTTCGAGCTGAGATATTGCGAAAATTCTGGTTGCTTCGCGAGTTTGCAATTTTCCCTTGCACGAACTATACGGGTGCCCGTTCGTTCGATATGCGTAACGGACAAAATCGTAAAAATTTGTTCCACCGAACGAAACTATTCGAACACGAATTTTTAATATCCTTCGTAGAGACGTCTTCAGTTGCATATGCATACCCATTTTCGAACGAACAAAATTTATGACACGGCTATATTGAATATTCATGATAATACGTTGCAAGATAGCGCGGCCATATTTTTCTTCGTTTAAACATATTACGTATTATTGCTCAAAAATTTTTTAATTTCGTACGAGTTGGATTTTTGCTTATTCAACCAGTCACATGTTTTTTCTTCGAAAGGCTAATATCTCGAGCTAGAATATACCGAAAAATTAATAAAATATAAGAATTATTTTAATTATATTTTCGTAAATTTTTTATCGAAAGTAAATTTTTTTTTAGGTTCATCGAGCAGCCCACGGCGTCGTAGTTCACAGTGATGTAAGTAGATTGGAAATAATATTCGTAGAATTTCAAATTAATCGTATATTTTTAACAATTTTTTAACTTTTTTGTTAACGTTATCATTTGCAATTCTTTGTACCAAAATTCTGTACAATAGCTCGTTCTAGTTTTACGCTTTAACTAGTTTAACGTGGCAGTGAGTGGTGTCTGTAACTCTAACAAATTGCTAATTCTACTATTTAATGGTTATTGCGTTACAAGTTTTCGCAAAATCGCTGTAAGGGGTGTTCATTGATCAACAACGCTAAGTAAGTGTTCTTCCATCGATATCGCTAAAAAGAAGTATTTTCTGATTAAAAATTCTCCAGTTCACCAAACTAGATATCAGCACTAGCGGAACTGCGATACTATGTTTTTTAAAAGTAATTTATATTTACAGATATGAGGGCCCAGGGATGCATAGATTTGTACTTTACTTGTGAAATAGCATGGCTTTGCAACTCGTATGTTAGTCTGAAATAATGTTTCAGTAATGCGCACGTCGAGAATTGCGTTAGGTATATCATAATGTATTTCATTTATAATTCATTTTCCCAATGGAGAATGATTTACATAATCGTTTAAACTCGCAAAATACACTGCTCAAATTAATTAGGGAATCGCTTATTAAAATATGGTAACCGATATATCTTGCAATTTGCAACACGTGCATAGCACTTTTTATCCACAAACATTTCATCACATTTTCTAATTATTTCGAGCATTGTCATTCATTCGTCGTTATTATCTACTAGCTATATACAAGTAAGTACTTACTGGCCCGGGTCCCGTTCGCGCAACCTTGCCTAACTATTATTTACACTTTTGTCCCCGCCTTATTTGCTAACTGAGATACTTCGGTAGAAAGGGAATTATAACGTGCCCATGTACGAACATAGGCACCAATTAAATAGCATACGCCTACAATTGCACGTGTACGAAATCGATATCGCGATACGATCAACAATATCAACCACTGAAACGAAATACTGGCCATTTATTGACTACTTTCATAACCATCGATAACAAGTATCTAACGAAGCATAAGAATAGAAAATCGTTAACAATATCTCTTCGTTGCACCATTCGACTCGACGACACGCGAAACGCGTTCGAACGTCGCGATTTAACAGAAACACGGAGAAACGCGTTCGTTTCCGCTTCATATTTACATTGCTTTATGTACACGCCGGCCAACGTGACTCGGGTACTCCGAGCTACTCAGGCCATCACCGATTTCGTTCCAATCCCCGGCGAACTTCGAATACACGGTATCCTTCGTTGTTTCGAAATTGTCATGGTCAGGCCTGCGAAAATGTCTCGCGTGCAACGCTGATCCCTCGGGGGACCGACCCGACGCGGGGACCTTGGGGAACTGAAAAGCAGCACCATTGGAAGTGGCACAGGCGCGGATCGCGCGCGTCCTAATGTCTTACTAAAAGCAAATCTGTGTTCGAGCAGCCTAGGCTCGGCCACGGAGGCTGGAAAAGTATCGTCCGCGCGGTTCCAGCGAGAGCAGGATCCCCCTCGGCCATGGTGTAAGGCTGAGGAATTTCACCGAAATTCCCTCGCAGACCGCGTCCGCTGGACTCGTCATGGATTCCCGTCGCGATTACGATTCGAAGGAGATTCTTGAGCCGCGGAAGAGTATAAATAGGTGCGGGACAAAAGCAGAGAGGAGGCGGCAGAGCGGCAGCGACGGAGGCGTTTACATTGGCAGGCGTCGAACGCTTGTAAGATAAAGCGGTTGGCAACGTTCTACACGTGTACGCCGGTTTGTAACGCACGTTCCGAACACGTGCACCCCGCAGTTTGACGTGTTTATCAACCGATGCACCACGGTTGCACCGGCGTTGCTCTCCTGCTTCTGCGAACGCGTCAGCGCCTCTTCCCTTGCCTCTCCTTTTCTCTCGCGCCGCCGTTCCGTCTCTCCCTCTGCCTCTCTTTCCGTCTTACGCGATTACCGCACGAGCGCGCGCTCGTTAATTAAAGCGGAGGACTCTCGTTAAAGTCGATTGGCTTTTGCGCAACCAGCCATCGATCGGCGACTCGCGATCCTCGCCGTGATTACCCGGAATTGAGACGTTAATCCTTCATTCTTCCAGCCGCCGCGGATATTTATGCAGCATTGCAGCCGCGCACCCGCGCGAACCGCGTTTACCTATTCGTCGCGAATGATTTGTCTCCGAGCGAGCAGGATCGCTCCCGATCCGGTAATTCCTGCTCCACCGGGAACGCAATCGAAGATAATCTACGGTTCTGCGAATCTCGCTCGACTATCGAGCACCCCGTTCAGTCCCCCCTCTTCACCGACGAGAGGGAACTTAATCGATTACGATATCACGCGACCGTCGATATCTACTTTCCGAGCCAATTATCCCGTTTGTCTCTACGCGAACAAACGTCTCGATCGATCGAGCCGCGAGCGAACGTACGTGAATTTCTTCGTCTAACCTATACAACGCTAGCCGATCTTCCGTCTAGGATCTCGTCGTGAGATCTATGGGCGCCGACTTCCTCTTCAGCGGAGGGCTGTCTCGATCGCTCACGCTCTCCATGTCGATCTCGTCTTCTTCCGTTTCGTCGCTCACCGAGGTAGCCACCGACTTCATGGACAGGTCCATGGGGTTGTCCTGGGGCGGCGGACAGTCCGGTTCCGGTCCTGGACTGCACAGGGGCGAACCACTTTCCGAATGGTCCTTCACCGACACCGTTGGGGAACCTTCCGGACGCGTTCGTTGACTCTTCAATACCGCGTCCAGGTAGAATCGTTTGGTATACGTTTCACCCTCTCCGTTCGGTGACGAGCTCTGCCTCGAGGTCTGCACGTTGTTGTTATGAGCGTATCTGTCGTTGTTATTGTTGTTGTTGTTGTTGTTATTCCCACAAGAGTCCTTGGTATCGACGCTGATGGTGGTGGTGGTGGTGGTAGTAGTGGTGGTGGTGGATGTCATCGCGCCGGTTACGTCCTCGATCACTGGCGAGTGTCTGAGTAGGTTCGAGGAGTGGTTCGGTACCAGGGGGTGGGCAGCTCCGTGAGACGTAGCGTACAAATGGTAGGGAGAGAACATGGTGAGACTCGGGGGTGGCAGGAAGGCTGGTGGGATCAGGGACATTCCACCGAGGTGAAAACCCAGAGGGAGACTCATCATTTCCTTGCTGAGCGCCGACAGGTCAGCCACGGAGGGTTGCAGATGCGAGTGCAACGGTCTGAAACCGGGGTGTCCCGAGAAGGCTGCTCTTCTCTCGGATATCTCCACGGAGCTGTCGCTGTTGTGCGACTCTGGGGAACTGATACTGGGCGAGGTGGAGTTCTTGTAGTCGTCCAAGCCGAGCATCAGGACATCGTCCTTTCGTTGACCCGCGTGGATCCCGATAGGCGGGCTCATAGGCTTCCGTTGTTGAGAGAGCGGCTGGTTGGGCAGATTCTGTTGGTAGTGCTGTTGCTGTTGCTGCTGCTGCTGCTGCTGTTCCTGCAGCAGACAGTGGATCTTGAACCAGTTAGACCTGCGGCCGTATCGCGAGCCGGATTTCGACATGCCCACTAGCAGACATTTTCTTAGGCGGCAGGCCTTGCAGGCTGTTCGGTTCTTCTTGTTGATCACGCACTCACCGCCGTTCTTGCACTCGGAAATGCTGCTGAGATTGTTGTAGGATCTTCCGAAGAAGGACTGAAACACGGGAAGGGTATATTTCGTTACTGCTAATGCGATAATAAAGCGGTATGATAATTTTATTCGCGTTAATTACGTCGACAAAAGGAATCAAGCTTCAGCTGAGGATTACAAAGGGAGACAAAATCTAGAATGCTCTTTAAATGCAAATTCAGAGGTCAAAGATTCGTTGGGAGATCCGCCGCGGCTGCAATGGCATTGTGTCGCTCATAATGAGTACGGCAATGTTGTTAGACGGTAATAGCGTGCTCTCGTTGTCTCATTCATGTCGTACAGCGGGGAGCCAGCCGGTGTAGGCGCGTGCGGCCTACTGGGCCCGTGCTAATTGCCCAAATGGTGCAATTCCACCATTCCGACACAGTTGGCTTTCGTCTCTGCGAGTCGCGGAACGGTCCCCTCTCGTTCGCGCATATCCTCGCGCTTTTTTCCCCGATCTACACGCGTTCCACTTCGATTCGATTACGCGCGCCGAAAAATGCCTCTCATTCCACCGGAATCCATTACGCGCTCAGCTATTTCGATCGGCAAACGGCATGGCGAAGGATAGCGAAAAACCATGGCGAAGCTGTTGCGAAACGCGCGCAATTTAAAGCCCCGTTCCTTACAACAGACATCGAGTCAACCTCGAACGTATGCACTTAGTGCCGAGCCGCGTATTGCTCCCCGAAACACCTACGGTTTCCTGTCTAGCCCGATAGGAAATTTCGCCCTTCGCGGTTAATGATCAGTCTTTAAAGAGACACCGCCCCCCCTGTGTGTACACCACGTTCACTTTCGCTTTTTCTCCTCGTACGCACGCTATATTATTAATCGTTTCTGGTTCGTTTGTTCTGAAAACGAGCTCTTCCTGCGGCCCAGTGGTCCCGATGCGCGCATTGCCGAGACCCACGACCCGCCACCGTGTTCCACTTGTCCCTGCCAAGTTATAGCACAGCGTTCTCTTCGTCGTTCGACTCCTCCGCGTATTTCACCGATGTCGTGTTTGTCACGAGCTGAGAATTTTTCCTCCGATAGTATCCAAGACAATTTAGATACCCAGTCTTTGTCAACCGATAGTCTAGCTAACCTCCTCGACCCCCGATTCTTCCTCGACTTTGATTATCGTCGTCCTCCGCGCGAGATAAGATTTGTTCGTCCATACCCAAGGATTATCCCCGACGAGGGGACCACAGCGAGGAGAATATGCGCGTCGCTTCAGAAGCGATGACACAATCGAGAAAATGCTACCGTTATTACCTTCCCTTCCCCTCCGCGTGGCGCGCGCGCGTCGTGTTATGCAAACGCGGGGCACCGGCTCGAAACTTCAAAGTGCCGACTCGCGCCTTTTCATCGTCCAAACCTTGCACAGTGTTACGGTTTCCTTTCGAAAACCGTCCGATAAATAGACCGGCTAATTACGCCACGGCTGAACTTTCGTGGCCTAAGAAACGTATCCCTGACTCACGGCGCGGAAACAAGGCGAGGAGCAAGAAGCGAGGGAAGAAGAGAAGAAGAGGAACGACGGAGGTTGAAATTCGTTCTCAATGGACGACGATAACGAACCATTGTACCGTTTTCACCGTTTTTTACGCCGCCCGATAAACCGCGAATCGCTGGCTGTATCGGCTGCTGATGGTTGTACGGAGGCAGGGACCGTGGCGAGCCGCGCACTTCGAGTTTTCACCGTGAACGAACCCGATCGTGGGACAGATCTACACGCCGGCAGACATTGTGGCCGCGCGAGCACGTGCACGCGCGTTTCGTCAATTCGCTCGGATCACGGAGCGGCTTCGAGGCGGTGCTTCCGGCGCTTCGCACTTGTCTGCCACAATTGTTTCCGCCCTAGTTCACCATTACGTCACCTCGACATTGTTTCGTTTCGTTATTTTCGTTTTCAGGCCCATCGTAGCATGTCAGCTCTCCCCCTCTATCCGTGCCTACTATTCTCCTGGCATCGTTTGCTTTTACGCTCCACTCGCGGTGTAGTACAAATTCGACCGTGCCACGCATTCGTTTTCCCTCCAGACGTTGCACGTGTTCCTACTCGAGTACCGATCACCTTCTGTTTTACGTATCTTGTCAATTTTATTACCCATTAAACGTCTTAATAGTACTACAGGTGGAGGTGCAATTAGAAAGATGGCGATTTTATATCGAAAATAGGTCGTAATTACAGGATAATATTTTGCACGATTTTTTAATATTGAAATATTATGCATTATTTGTATTTTTGTATGTACCGATCACCACCTCGTGTTTTACGTATATTGTCAATTTTATTCCCCATTAAACGTCTTAATATTCCTTCACGAGGTGTCCTATAGGTAGAGGTGCAAATAGGAAGACGGCCATTCTATGTAGAAAATGGATCATAATCGCAGAATAATATTTTGCACGATTTTTTGATATTGCAATATTATGCATTTATATTTTTGATACGAGTATGAGTCGCCTTATAGCAGGGGTTAATATTCCATTATTAAATTTTTCGTACATAAATATTCTCTTACACGTGTTCTTACTAGAGTGCCGATCACTACCTCGTGTTTTATGTATATTGTCAATTTTATTCCCCATTAAACGTCTTAATATTCCCCCATGAGGTGTGCTACAGGTAGAGGTGCAAACAGAAAGATGGCGATTCTATATCGAAAATGGGTCATAATCGCAGAATAATATTTTGAAGGATCTCTTAATATTGAAATATTATAGGTAATTTTTAATTTTGATGCCGATTTATAATTCAAGAGGTTAATATTCCGTTATTAAATTTTTCGTGCGTAAACGTTCTCTCCCATTACGTATTCTCGACTATCTATTATGGTAAATACGAGTATAATTAAAGATATGAGTAAACGCGAAGATCCATTAAGTTAGGACATAATCGAGTTCACAATTACCCCTGAAATATTCAAAGACTTTTTCTCGAAAACCAAGTACAATACGAACAAATTTAATTCCACGTAGTGTCAGCGCCTCTCTAAATTTGCCATTTGTATCAGGAATCTTCTCCTCGATCATTGCGCGTGTCATTTTGATTCAGATCGACCCTTTGACTAGAAATTCGGTTCGCGAAACATGGCCGTAGTTACTTTCGGGGGGGCCGGGTTGACACGCATGCCTAGTCAAACGTTTAACCTCGGCCACGAAGCGGCTCGTGAAAGCGATCAACGTTTCTCAGCTTTGCGAAACTGCGGAAAAGATCGCCGCGAACGGCACGAAAGGGAAAAAAGCGGGGGGAAAAAAAGGAGCTGGCTGGAAAACTCGCGGGTTCTTTGAGTCCAGCTCCACATTCCGTTGTTTTTCCATCGCGATCTCTCCCGCGATAAACCGTCGAAAGAGCCCGAAGGAACCATCAACAGCGAAACTTATTGCGATCGAATCGCCATTGCTTTCGAATTACTATTCGAATTATTACTCGATCGCTATCTCGACCATGGAAGTTTCCCATGGAGCCCCGTTCGTATCGTCGAAATGATCCATGAAGACTCACCTTGCAGCCCTCGCAGGTGAACGCGCCAAAGTGGAAGCCTGCCGCGGGTTCGCCGCACACCTTGCACTGTTGGTTCATCTGCAACAGAGAGATAATGGCTTCCTTGAATTCGTTTCGTCGAATAGGAGAGCTCGCGGCCGATTTCCAGGCCGATACGAAGGCGTTCCACGGAGGGCTCGTAACTGCTCGGCCGATTGCGGGCTTCCGTTACGGTGAATGACGAAACCAAGGGAAAACAAAATCGATGTCGCCGGTCGCGTAACGCGCTCGCGTATATTTCAAAGCGTTCCACGAAATCACGATGCGAGCCTTATCGCGCGCCCACGAGCGATCGCGCGATTGGGAAAGAGAAGAGGCTCGTTGCGCAATCGGCCGGTTTGCGCTGCGCGGTACGCGCGAATCGCTGGATCGTGGCAAAGCGGTGCGTGTTACGTTCAACGAGCGGAAAACCCTCCTGCACTTGCTCCTTCTCTCTTTCCATCGTCCAGCTCCTTTCGCCTTCTTTGGCCGCTCGTCCAGAAAACAGATTGCGGCCCCGCGGTCTCGTTTTCACACCTCGCCGACTCTATTCTCTCTACTTTGTCCCGTTCGTAGATCGCTAGACATTTGCATAATACCTTCGACGACTGTTCCAATATCCGAATCGCTTGTCTCTATTCGCGATTGAATATTTCGTCCTTACTTTTCCTCTTCCTCTTTATTTTTCTTTTCTTTTTCGTCCGTGGTTCCTATTTTGGAATGGCCGTCCCTGCATTCCGAATTATTACGATGCCGTTCATAGATCGCGAGATATTTCTATAATACCCTGCACGACTGTTCCAATATTCGAATCGTTTGCCTCTATTCGCGATTGAATATTTCATCGTTAATTTTCCTCTTTCTCTTTATTTTCTTTCTTTTTTTTTTGGATATGGTTCCTATTTTGCGACGACCGTCCCTGTATTCCGAATTACTACGATACCGTTCGTAGATCGTGAGATATTTGTATAATACCTTGCACGACTGTTGCAATATTTGAATCGTTTGTCCCTATTCGCGATTGAATATTTCATTGTTAATTTTCCTCTTTCTCTTTATTTTCTTTCTTTTTTTTTTGGATATGGTTCCTATTTTGCGACGACCGTCCCTGTATTCCGAATTACTACGATGTCGGTCGTAAATCGTGAGATATTTGTATAATAGCCTCCACGACTGTTGCAATATTTGAATCGTTTGTCCCTATTCGCGATTGAATATTTCATTGTTAATTTTCCTCTTTCTCTTTATTTTCTTTCTTTTTTCTTGTCTGTGATTCCTATTTTGCGACGACCGTCCCTGTATTCCGAATTACTACGATACCGTTCGTAGATCGTGAGATATTTGTATAATACCTTGCACGACTGTTCCAATATCCGAATCGTTTGCCTCTATTCGCGATTGAATATTTCATCGTTAATTTTTCTCTTTTTCTTTATTTTCGTTCTTACATTTTTGGCTATGGTTCCTATTTTGCGACGCCGTCCCTGTATTCCGAATTACAACGAAGCCGTTCATAGTTCGCGAGGCATTTGCATGATACCTTGGACGACTGTTCCAATATCCGAATCGTTTTCGTTTATTCACGATCGAGTGCTTCGTTGTCACTTTTTCTCTTCCTCTTTATTTTCTTTCTTTTTTTTCTTTTGGCTATGGTTCCTATTTTGCAACGCGCGTGCCTGCATTCCGAATCACAGCGAAGCCAAAGTGTGGAAGGAATATGGGACAATAGCCAGTGACCCACATACGTAGCCCGAGGGTACCTCGCGCCGTGTCACCTGCGGCGACTTTCATACATGACAGACTGTCGCTAAATGGGAAAGTAAATCTCAGCTAATGGAAGAGACATCGATTGTTTGATCAACGGAGTCTCTCTTTCCTGACCTACACCCCACAGTCGTTGACACTTCTCATTCGCGGACGCTCGACGCCTCGACGTGCCTACGCATACCTTTAATTCCGCGTTCGATTCTTTTCTGTTTAGCTACGAGCCGCGCGTACCTCGCCGGGATCCTCGACTTTCGTAAACGCGTTCCCCGGGATTTATACGCGTCTCGTTGGATAAATTAGCCGGCTCGCGGACACGTTCGGTAAGAGGATCGGTTTCGGCGAAGCGCGATCGGTTTCTATTTCGAAAACGAGAGACGACGACGACGAGGGAGTGGACGAAAGAGAGAACGATCTTTTCACGGGTTCGTGCTAACAGTATTGCTACAGAGCATTTTCGAATCGAACGGAAAAACTGGCCTACCCACGTGAGGCAATCGTCGCGGTTTGCTTGCTGGACCTCGACGGTTGCCCTCGCGAAATCGATCGGGCACAATGGCGACAGATGCAGGGAGGACGAAGAGAGAGAGAGAGAGAGAGAGATAGATAGAGGAGGTGAAAAATAGATAAAGGAGTAACAGATGGTCGGTTAATTGAATTTAAATGACGACGCGTTCTCGTTAAACGTAGCCTCTAGGCTCGGTTGATATTTGAAGAGGGGAGGTATCTGTCGCTATTGGGCTCGGCCAGAGTCGAATCGTTCTGTACTATTAATTACCGATCGTCTGCACGGTCCTCGAGTGCCTCTAACGCTCGACGATGCGCCCGAGCTATCGCAACCTGCACTGATTGCAGGTGTGCATCCGGTAAGCCATTCAGGGGGTGCCTGCATACTCGAGCGTTTCGCGTGGATGCGAGTTGCAACGTTTAAGCCATATTGTTGGTGCTCGCGTGTCGCAACGGACGCGGCTTACCGATACTCGGGGCTTGCGGGCTTAATAGAATATACGCGACGAATGAGAAAAGAATGATAGATGATTTAGCGTTCCCCTAACAAATGACTTTTAATTATTGCCTATCCGCGTGTACAATAAAACTGTTGATTAATTAAGCCGGCCTCGCATTTGCGTCGATAGATCCTGTTTAGAAGTTACTTAACGAAATGGCCGTGCCTCGGTCGCTAATGGCCTAATACGACGCGATGCCCGAGCGTTAATTATTTCGAGTAAACGCGGAGATTGATAACGGAAAGCGTCCTCTATTATTCGCGGGAAAAAGTGAATTACGAGGTAGAGAAAGTTCACAGCGGTCGTTACCGGGTGTCACGCGTACGACGCGGCCTATCCAGTGGAATTTCGAGGATCGGCCGCGCGCCAGCCGCTCTCGGCGCGGCGTAACGATCGCCGTCCTCAAGATCATCGCGGATCGCCACGGGGCAACGAGATCTCGATCGAAGCCGTGAGAATCGCGACGAGAGTGCCGCGGCTCGTAACTTTCAGTCGCGATCCCCGAGCCGGCTGCCGCCAATGGCAAACAGCCGATCATCGTTCGATTCCACGGAAAAAGACAGCGGAAGGAACGAGAAGGTGCAACCGCCGGCCTGGCACGCTCGAGCGTTCAAAGGGATCGAGATCCGAGTCCCTGCCACCACGGCGATTGTCCTCCTTTCTAGAGCTGACCTTCTCGATAAAAAAACACCTAGCGCGCTGCTCTTCCGCTTTGTGCCACTCTGGCACACACGCGCGAGGCTCGCTCGAGGATTTCGCTAAAAGCGACCAGTCACCGTCCACGCCGTTTCGAGCATTAATTACACCACGACACACCGTGGCGCGTCCGGACGCGTGGCTAGGTTTCTTCGGAATCGGTGGATTTTTTCTTCATTTACATGCGCGTGAAAGTCGTCGCACGGCCGTTTTAGCGGAACTATTTTAAATGACCGACGCCTCGTTACTTTCGTCGCGGCACGTCGTCTAGCACGGCCGTAGAATTTTCCTTTTTCCCACGGCGCATGCCTGCGGAAATGAGTTTAGTTCCGTTTTCCAGACCACGACTATGGATCACGCTTTACGACCCCGGTCATCCTCGCGCGCCCCCGTGCTCACCAATTTTTCCCACCCTCTTCCTCCGCGCTTCCGCTTTACGCTTGCCGATTTTTAAGCTACATTTTAAGCTACACCATAAAAGAAAAAAAAAAAAAGAAAAAAAAAGGAAGAAAGGGAGAAAGAAAGACGAAAAAGGTGCTCGTTCGTAGGGCAAGTTTGGGATTTCGGGAACCGTTATTCCGCTTTTTATTGGTGAAAAATGGCTCGGTCTGTTCATTTTCTCTGAGCACTAAACTATGCCAAAGTCAGGGTGGGCCACGGACAGGTCAGTTTTTTACTGCTCGTTGCTCTAAGCTGTAATTATCGGGGACAATTCGTAATAAAAAGTAGCGGTCGTTTTCGTGACACTTGGCGCGTTAGACAGTGGAGGAAATCTGCTTGGAAAATCGATTACCAGTTTCGAGTCCCATCCGTTCGCCGTCTTTCGACTTCATCTTCGCCGAGCGGCGCGCGATCCAGTTTGCAGAGAGTGACTTCCGGTCTTTCGAAACGAAACGCCGTTCCGCAACGCGTGCTCCGGCGATCGGCCTTCGCGCGATGCAACGTGGACCCCGCCGTTTGTTTCCGATGCTATTATTCTATCGCACTTCGATAGCCAGTTCGCTCAGATTCCTATCAAACTATCGCGCAATGCACCGTACGTACTCTATTGTATCGCCGTCAAATATGCTCGGCCAGGAACGCGACGCAATGCACGTAACTCAGTCCTCGATCTCGTTGCGCGTATATCGCCGTCGAATCTATCGCCTGGCCATAACGTAACCTCGTTTTGGAATATTTCCAAACGACACGTGTCAAAAGCCGAGTTTTATCCTTCACCGTGCAACAATGGGAATATCCTGGCTCGCTGCGCGTCGTCGAAATGGTTGTCGATACGATCTCCTTTGCAGCAGCGTGTCTAATGAATCGAATAATTAGCCTAATCACGATGCCCGTAGGCTTTCGGAGAAACATAGTCGAGCTCTGATCGTCGGTGAATCGTGGAGGATTTCCCGTGGAACGGTTTTCGCTCGGTGTCGCGACCAAAGACAAAGAAATCGGCCGACAGCACGCGCTCGAATTACGAAACGCACCGCGTCCTTCGGCTTCGTCTGCTCGGCTCGTAGGCGTACCAACCGATTCGTTTCTAAACCCGACGAATGCTCCGCGAAACAGCGAGGATGATACGAAGCGAGCGAAGATCGGACAGCAGGACCGAGCGTTGTTATTAGCGTGCAGCGACAGCGCGATACCATTCGAACGAAACGCGATGAGGAAACGCGTAATTGCCAGTTGTCAGATTCGGGAATCGCTGCTCCGAGCTCGAACCGATCGCCTTTCGCGATCAACCTGATCACACATACCTTGAACGTGGGGACGATTAACGCTGCGCGAGACTCGTCGACGACAGGCCCGCGGGACGATCCTTTCCTCAGGCACCGTGCAGCATCCGACACTTTGTCATCACCACGGGTCGCGAATCCTTTCGACGAATCGAAAACAAATTCGCCTCACTGCCGCGAAGTCACTCGAAGCGTCGGGTATCTCCTTCAGTTCACTGTCAAACTCACTCGGTCCTCTCGTAGAAAACACCAAACGCTGATCGTTGTCACTGTACCGATCTCTCCTCGATCTTTCTCGCATCGATTCCCGGGACCAACGACAGACTCCGCGAAACGTCACCTGGACGAACAAGTTCCCAGGATCTTGGATGGAAAATACAAACAATCGTCCGAGTACGATGACATGCGAGTGTCCGTCCTTTGGATGTGATCGTTAAAAAAGGACACGCCACGATGTAGCCGTGGACCGGGCCGGATAACGGAAGAGGTGGCAACAGCAGGAGGAGAAGAAGAAGAACAAGAAGAAGATTCTTGACGCGGCGATGACCGTTAGGTGAATGACTTTGGAAGGCGAGGGTGTCCACGTCGATTCTTGAATCAGCCCCCACCTCCAATTATTTTCTGCGGTCCCACTTCGTTCGCTCGATCGGTCGGCCGCTCGTTCGTTCGTTCGCTGGCTAGGCTCGTGCGCTCTCGTAAGTATACTTCGAATGGGCCTTATGGGCACACTGTGCGTCGGATCAGCAGAGAAGCGTGCAGGGTCCATCCGCGGCACAGGTGGGCCGCGGGTCCTCTCGTACCTTTGGTGGGGGGTCCTGCTGGACGACCGGAGGGATCCTCTCGGCCCACGGGGAGGGGGCACAAGGGAGGGGCTTCACTGCTCTACCCTCTCTTCGCCTCTCTTTCTCCTCCTTTGCTCGGACCTCCTACCCTCTCGGAGAGCCGCTGGACCCACGACGTATACACGGCTTTGCACACCGAGGCTGACGGTATCGATAACGATCCTGCGCTCTCCCCGACACCTTTTCTTCCCTTAGCGTCCACCTTGCGTCTCGTTGGTGGGGCGCTAGTGCGCCAGTGGAACACCACTCCCTTCGAATCAACTTTGTTTCCAGCGGTTCCGCTAAATTTCTCTCTCCCCGTGTTCAATGTAGACCCCATTGGATCGCGGTGAAGGGTACTAATAACGCGAGTTACGCTGGGAATTTTAATGCTCAGGATTATTTTTACACTCGCGGTTAGGCTTCGAGAGAGAGAGAGAGAGAGAGAGAGATGTCGATAATCGGTTATGTAAGATCGTTCAAGATCGAATATATCCTTTTTGTTCGCTCGCGAGTCACTTTTATTTATTTACCGAGATTGCCGGCGAGAAAGAGAGAAGCACGAGATATGGCGGAAACGCTGTCGTAAACTCCATCTTCGAAAGCAGGATTTCGAAGGTGGAAAAGAAACGAACTTAATTGCGGGTTAACCTTGCATCTTTATATTGCCCCTGGTAAAGTTTCTTTCTCCTTTTCTATCTCTTCCTTCTTTTTTTTTCCACGCTCGAGATACCAGGTAGCGATTCGCGATTGCTCATAGCGCGGATCGTAGCTAAATTTAGTTTAAAAGCGATACCCCGTACGCGAGCAACGCGATTCTCGTTGCACGCGTCCTTGGAGATCCAACCACGGCGGCTCGTAGATCATAGAGATCGTAATGATCGATAACACCTTTTGGGTTCGCGTGTTAGCGATGTATGGCGATCCATGGACGCCCGTATCGCGCATTCCGCGTCGCTCTTTCGTTCCCTCCATTTTAATTCCACGAATTAACGGCCGCTTGCGTAACCGAGACATTGAAAAACGGCGTTTCGAAAATGCCCGTTTTCACCGGAACAATCGTAGGTCAGTGTCGCCTGGGGAGTAATTAGGCACTCGCGTAAGGATCCAAGGGCAAGGATCGTTATCGTTATCGGGGACGATGATTAGAACGACCTCGTGGGCATTTTCCAAGCGATAACGCCGCGTATCGTTTTCTATTTTCCTCCCCGGGATATTAAAATCGCATGGAAACGCCGGCGAGATTAACGCTCGCAGCGAGCGTTCGAACGCTTTGCAAAACACTCGTAAGACCACTATTTATGGCGGATGAAAGTTTAATCAAGAGTGCCTGCGGGAGGTACGCGCGAGTTGCTCCCCTTTTTGTGAACGCTGCCACGGCAATTGTAGGTGGTACCGTGCTTCACCTTTATTTCCAGGAAAATTCGGGGGATTTCTAGGAAAGCGAGCTGCTTTACCGTGAATAGAGATGTTCCAAGGACTCCGGCGGACGGCCATCGCGTCGCAGTCGTAGGTCAATGCGGAACAATAGCCGAACGTTATTGTGTCTCGCGAGGGAAAGGACAAGAAGGTTGTAAAGCGATGATGGCGGACATGGAATCTCTTAATCGGTCCCTAGGCCTTTTACGATCGAGCTTAGCTCTAATTAAACACACTCCACACTGCCTCGCATTGGCACCGTAAAAACGCACCGTTATAAAAACTGTGCCAAAAATTCCGACGAATTTTCGTTGCCGCGCTCGCCTTTTTACGACGGACCGTTCGCTAATCTTTATGAGCGCAAAGTGTCGCCCGTCGGTCGACAGACGTGACCCGTAGTCGTTAAAAAATGCCCTACGATCCGATGCAACAATAAACTAAAAAGCGACCGGAACAGCGTCTTTTTCCCTTTTTCTTTCCATTTTTTCCTCCACGGTCGTCCTTTGTCAGCCACGGTCAACCACCATCGGAAATTTCCGCCATTTCTTCAACCGCGAAACCCTTCCGTCACGTACTCCGTTCACGTTGTCGTTTCACGATGGAGAAAAATAGAAAAATGAATGTAAACGGTTTAGGATTTTCTTCTTCGGCGCGGAGAACGTTTACTTCCGGTAGAATCGTGGATCCTCGCAAGCCGAGAATTAAACGCACGCGGTTCGCGGCATCTAGCGGGTCTAGTAAAAACGCGTAGAGTTTCTACCTCGTCAACTTTGACGCGACCGTAATTACGTTGCAGCGATGAAAAGCAATCACGCACTTTCTGACCTTTTCGCAACAAAGTTGCGAGAGATCGAAGCGGAGGATTATCTTCTTGCTGGCAGGGCAATTGCGGGGACGAAGGCAACACGCAATGCTAATCACGAATGCAGCGTTTGTACCACAGGTGGCGCCACGTGCATCAACTCGGGGAATCTCGCGTCCTCCCGGCCCCCATTCAAACGAGCTAATTAACGCTTTTTCTTTCATCCACTGGACAATCCGTGTCCCTCTTCCCAGGGTAGCGCGGAATTCTCCACGGTGTGGCAAAAAATCGAGACGTCTAGATCGATACGTCCGCAGCCGATCAATTAGGCAAACGAGCCGCTGGAACGCGCGTGTCGTTTCTTTTCCCTCCGCGTCGTGCCGCCGTCATTTTTTCCCGCCATTGCATTCCCTCGCCATTGACTAATCGACGATCCGAGATAGACGCGTATCCTCGCGAGATTCGACGTTTGTCCGTCTCGATATCGATCGCTCGTTCCGCGCGTGTGTCACGGGTCCCGTTCGCGCGTGCCATGAATTAGCCTAATCGATCGATCGCGATACGCGAGTTATTACGTATGCTAATCTTGCACTTTTCTCCGCGGTTAAGAAAAAAACTGACAAGTCGGCTCGTTGGTCTAGGGGTATGATTTTCGCTTCGGGTGCGAAAGGTCCCGGGTTCAAATCCCGGACGAGCCCGTGGAATTTCTTTACTTTTACTTTTTACCAACGCGCGCGTACAACACTTTCACGCCGCGCGATTTCAAACTCCGTCGAGCGTGCGTGACGCGTACGCTGCGGTTAGGCTACCAAAACGTCGCGCATTTACGCGCGCGCTCTCGCTGCGCGTGTACGTTTTCTTTTTCCCGTTCAGGGTTCTCTAGGTGGTCGAATCTTTTCTTTTCGCCATTCTTTTACCGTGTACTCGCAGCTGTGCCAAATTCGTTTCGACGCGTATTTTTGTACTCGCGTTTTGGTGCAAGCGTAGGTATGGTTTGCTTTTATAGACGGATTTCACGGATCGGAGGAAGGTGCACGACACGGGCGTCGATCTTATTACCGAGGTGGTTATCTTTCGTATGAAATATGGAGGTTTTTAGGAATTTTAAGCGCTTAACGGGACACTCGTGGCGTGGAATTTAAATTCGGGATACGCTGGGAATTTTTCGACAGGCTCGTCGCGGGCAATTAATCTTCGCGTTTCGAAGCGAAATCGAGTGAATTTTTATCGCGGGATAATACGGAAGCACGTTCACAAAGGCGTCTTACAACTTTGACGTCCCACTTTCATGATCTTCCAATTCCAGCATATATTAATCTTGACAATGCTTTCCAATGCTATTACATCGATTTTTCTCACAAATTAATGCATCAAAGTCGAGAGTCGCGGGTGATTATCGTAAAATTACTCCCGTAAATGAGCGAATGCATCAATTTTATTTAATCAAATTCGCAAGTCACTTTCTTGTTTCTAACACCCTCGATGCAATTCGATAATGTCTTTTGAAACCTGTTTCCAGCTCAATTTCTTCCACGAACATTAGCGCGCGTACTACTCCGTCCTTCCCACCGAAACCCTTTCTAATAAATCTAATAATTCTAATAATTCACGCGACTTTCGAGCAATCACGCAACTCGCACAGTCCGATTCATTTTTATTCCTTACGAAATGCCGCGTATTTTTCGAGATTACCATTCTCCGCGCGGAGGAAAGGGAAAAATGGCCCCGAGCGAGAAGCTCGAAAATCCTTGAAGTCGATTCGAGAAAAATTACCGTCCACGTCGGGATTCCGCGACCGAGAGAAGGCTGGCCTTCTGCCGGATCATCGCGGACGGATAGCAGGTCCGTTAGCGATGACGCGAGTTCTAAAATCATCGAGGTCCGTCATCCCCGATAACTCTTTTGCGGCACAGGATTTCAGATGATAAAATAGATTGCACAGAAATTTTATCGCATTTTAAATTAAACAAAATTGGTATATTTTTACTAATAAAGGGGTAGCGTAATGTAAAAACATAAAAATAATAATAATTTAATCGAATTTGTTGTTACAGGGTGGGACTCAAGTAGTTCC